ATTGTACTTACATTCATTAGGTGATAAACGGCTCCAACGCTGGTGAATTTCGACAAGCGATGTCGCGTGTCTTTTGTAGTTTAGACATTGCTGAAAGTGATTCAGTCCTCACAGGTTAGATTTCTCGACGCCAAAGAGATTTTCAAATTGATTAAAAATGAACCGCGCTGTTTTTCCGAAATATGATTCTTCATTACTTCGACCGTAAGAAAACCGCAGCTGAAGCGCATCGTTTATTATCTGAAGTATATGGTGATGAAACTCCATCGGAAACAACATGTAGAGTTTGGTTTGAACGCTTCCGAAACAGTAATTTTGGCGTGAAAGACAAAGAACTCTCAAACCGCCGAAAAAATTTGAAGATGTCGAACTGCAAAAATTGTTCGATGAGAATCAGATCAAACAGTTTTAAAATTGTCGTTAAATGTTACTCGAATGGCCGTCAAAACGCTTGCATGCCTTGGGAAAAATTCATAAGGAAGGGAGATGGCTATCACATGAGTTATCAAAAAATACCATTTTGAATTGTCTATCACGATTTCTTTGCTTGGCAGGCAAAGAAAAAAGAGTTTTTTGTGGCGCATTATGATTGGCGATAACAAATGGATTTATTTTGATAATCCCAAGCGGGAAAAATTAGGGGTGAGTCCCAGTCAACCATCCACTTTAACATCGAAGAAGAATATTCACAGGCCTAAGACCTTGTTCTGCATGGTGAGACTAAGAGAGTATTTCGAGTTATTGCGTCCACATGAAATTGTTACAGCTGATTATTATCAACGGCAATTATATCAATTGAGTAACAAATTAATGCAAAAAAGACCATCTGTAGCCAACAATCAACGCAAAGTCATTTTGTTGCGTGATAACACTCGACCATATGTTGCGGAAAGTGTGAAGCAGACACTTTTATAATTTGAATCCTGGGAAATCCTACCGCATCCAGTATACTCTCCAGACTTGGCACCGTCGGATTATCTCATCTCTCGATGCAACACATACTTACGGACACTTACTTTGATTAAGGTATTCAATCATCTTCCCTTTGAAACAAATCAATTTTGGAGACGAAAAAACGGAATTAAATTTATCACCCAATAATGATAGAATGTGGATTCATAAATACTTGAAATAAATCTTTTCAATTGTATATTTTATTTTTTTATTGCATTTAAAATATGCAGAAAGATTCAACTCCATTTTAGTTATCTCGTATATTATATTTTTTTATCAAAAAATATTTTTTTTCAAAAAATTTTTGAAACATATTTGAGATAATCAAACCTTTGTGACATTAATTTTTGTCTGCTCAGAAATGGTAGATAAAAAAAAACAAATGGAAAATATTGCAAATAAAAATAAAGAACAGATAAAAAACAATTTAAAAAAATATAGATATTTTGTTAAAGTTAAGAGTCAAGTATAGAGATTAAAGGAAATTAATAAACAATAATAAAAAAAGATATAAATTAGTCTCAATAAAAGTTATAATTTGAGAATATCTATAATACATTTACATAGAAAACGGTTAACATGATACTACAAATACAATGAAGGATTATTTGATTAGCTAATTAGTAAAGTGCTTCAAAGCATTTGTAATAAGATTTTGACCGCATCAAGAGATCACAATAAAAGACAATTTTCTTAAAATATATAGAGATCTAGCCTTTTAAGAAAGTTCATAAAGAATTTTACGCTTTTATTTTTGCCTTATTCCAGATCATTCTGTCCTCATAAAATCGGATAACAATCTGAGGACACTTGACATTGGCTTCATTGGCAGACACCATGTCGACTGCATCTGTTCCTTTCCTGCGTAAACAAAATTATTCTTATTCGTCAATCGGCTTCAATCGTTTTTAAATTATTCTCATTAGTTTAAATTCTTTTTTTGTATTTTCGAAATGTACATTAAATGTTAAAAATAAATATATTAACACAAATAAGTGAAGGTTTCATTTGGCCAAGACGAAGTTTTATGCCTAAATACATAATTATGTAAATTTTTACAATTTGCAGCAAATTACATGCTGATTATTTGTCGGCTTGACACACAATTCTAGATTGGCTAAATTATATAATACTACAAGCAATTTAATATTACTGAAATCAATAAGCATCTTTTAACACTGTAAAAACTTATTGCAAAAAATATCACTTTAATCAGGATTCAACCTGGATTTCTCTCATTGTGTCCGGACGCCTTATCAATTTGATTATCAAGAAATCCAAGTACAATACAAAATCATAATAAGATCAAGATAACATCAAGTAGAAGTCATTAAAAAAAAATCAGAATGTCATTCGATATACTTTTTACGACGATTATGATGAATTTTTGACATAACAATAATTTTCAAATGATTGTTTAGTTAAAAAATTAGTTAAAAATCATTATTGATGTCATAAATTTGTCAAAAAATTATTGTTAAAAGTATATCAAATGACATTATGATTTTTTTTTCAAAATGAGTTCAACTTAATGGTATTTTGATTTTACTATGATCTTGTATTTTTTAACTAAAACAAAATCACTTAAAAATTATTGTCAAGAATTCATTATTAAATCATCAAAAAGTGCATTGAATGGCATTATTATAATTTTTCCTAAATGACTTTAACTTTCTGTCATCTTCATTTTGTATTATTTTTGTATTATTTTATGTTCTACCTGGGATATAATATTAATAATAATAACAAATATACATAGGACATATTTATTACCTACCATTGTATCAAGTACATTAGTTTTCCATTGTCATCTGCCGAACCAAGGATTTTATCTGCTTCCAATCCTCTTTTAAATCCCTGCTTTCTGCTGTTATCTTCCATCATCTTCTTTTTGTTATTCTTATTAGCATATAAGTTTCTTTTAACTTTATAATATCTTCGTAAAAATTTATCTTAATCTTATCCAGCATATGGCACATATACAATATCGCTGAGAAAGAAAATAAAAAAATTAATTTAATCATCGCAAAATTAAATGAATTAAGAAGAATGGAAACCAAATTTTAAAAAATTAAAATTTGAATAATGTACACAGTGAAAAAATGTATTAAATTTTAATAAAATATTTGTTTGAATAACACCAACTAAATATTTACTGAATATAAAGATACATTTGTTTAGTACAAAAACTATTAATTCTAACTATCACTTTTTTTTATTTAGTAAATACTTAGTTTAGTTGGGGTTATTACTATTTAAATAAATATTTAAATTGAATACATTTTTCACAAGGAAACACATAGAAGTGTCCTGCTCCGGTTTTGATGAGTTCTTATTATTGTTTTGCAAATAAAAATAAGAGACGCGAATTTTAAAAAATATAAATCTCTTTTAGAAGCTAAAATAATTACAAAAAATGCAAGATAATAAAAAAGCGTTTACTTGATGAATTTCCAGTCACGTTAAATTTTCGATCTTCAAACCGTTAATTTCGATGTAGAGTACGCAAACTATATGCATATATATACGTGTTGTCATGTTCTGTCACGATTTACACTGATAAAATAGATTTCATTTATTTTGGTCCTTTTATTTATAATAAAGATTTATAACAAAAAATTATCGCTGTCGTGTGCATAAAGTCAATTTGACGCAAAAGGCGTTTCATGATATAAAAAACAAACGTGTTGTTAGGCACGAACGACATTGTGGCAACAGGCAAACAGTAAACAATAATTGAGGTTAGGTTCTCAATTATTTACCGCGCTTGACCAGCAAACTCCATCTCTCCACACGGTTTTAAATATTTAGGTCTGTTCTTTTTAGCTAAAGTTCTTGCACGGTTCATCTTTTCTCGTTTTCTCTCCGACGTAGAGAGAAAAGGAAGAAAGATGAATCGTGGAAGAAGTTTGGAGCGCTCACTCAATTATTGAATCTGCTAAACGCAGCCAATGACCATCGGAGCATCACCGAGCGCCATGTGAATTTGCCATTAATCCATCCGTCCGTCCGTCCGTCCGTCAGTATGTCCACCATCCAGTCGAGGTAGTTCAGATCAGATCCAGGCTATCCAGGGGGGGAAAACCATATTGATTTTTTGCGATGATAGCTGCTGCTACGGGCGATGGTGCGCGGGCCGTGGCAGTGGTGGCAGTTACGTGAGAAGTGATGCCCTCCTGCTGGCCCGCTGGCGGCCGCCGTTCGCACGCCGTCGACACCGTGTGACGAGGGTGGCCTCCTCCTCCCCCCCACCCCACCCCATCCCGACGAGGAAGAGACACGTGTGGTCGGTGTGCCGTGTCTTGGGCCTCCTGGCGTGCCCAGTAACGTGGGCGTAACGTGGCGTGGCACGACCGAGACGATGCCGTCGGCGCTGCTCCGGCACCGCGGCCGCGACATTTCCATGGAAACGTAGACGCGGCCGCGCTGGTGCGTGCGGGAGCGACCACCTCCGCCGTGTCCGTTTCTCGATCCGGTGTCACCCGCCCGCGGCTGCCTCGTCTCCGCGCGTGACTAGGTTAACCTGATCGCGAAACGCTCGCGCTCACTCGGCTCAACGTTCGACGGCGAGGGGATTTCACCGCCGTCGCCCCGTGCCCCGGTGAGATTTTCCCTTCCTCTCCCTTTCCCCTTTCCCTTCCCGGCTCTCGTACTGTCGACACGATTGTCGGGATTGCATTCTCTCGCCTTTTATACTCGCCTCTCTTTCTGTGTCGATTAACTTCAATGTCAGTTCAACTTGTTGCCTTTTTCTAGCTTTGTGAATTGTGTCCGTTTCTACCAATGTAATTTAATTTTAATTTAATCTCTGTTCGAGTAACTTCATCTTTCTCTAGCAAGAGTTGTGTCCACTTCTATGGATCTACGTAGATCAACTTTAATTCTTGGTTTAATTAACTTTTTATTCTCTTCTAATGTTTAGAACTAGAAAAGAAGTTAAACCAAGATTATAGTTGATCTACATTGGTAGAAATAGACATTAAAGAAAGATGAATGCCCATTTCTACCAATGTAGATTTTTATTCTGGGTTTAACTTACTTTTCCTCTTTTTCTAATTTTTAGAACTAAGAAAAGGTAAAAAGTTAATTGGACCAACATTGACTTATTTTTTGTTTTTATTTTGTTTAGAATTATGTTTGTTTCTGTAAATGTAGATTAACTTCAATCTCAATTACTTTATTCTTTATCTTTTCTAATTCTAAGAATCAGTATAAGATAAACAGGAAATTAAATTGAGATTAAAGATACTTTATATTGATATAGAAATGGACATATGTCTTTCTGATTCTCAGACCTAGGAAATGATAACAAATAAGTTATACTAATATTAAAGTAAATTTATATTAACTTTAAGATAACTTCAAGTTGGTTTAATTTTTTATTTTTCTCCAATTCTAACAATAAAAATTATGTTTATTTTTATAAATGTACATTAATTTTAATCTGGGTTTAGCTTATTCTTTATCTTTATCTTTTTCTAATTCTCAGAACTAGAAAAAGATAAATAAATTTAACGTTATCCGAGATTCAAGTTAATTTACATTGATAGAAATGGATATTACATTCGTTCTCTTCCTTCTTGCTTTCATAGTTTTTTTTCTTTCTTCCTGATAATTCCCACATTGATGAATCAGTAGCTGCTAAGATCAAATTGTCGAAATCATTTCGATCTGTATCTAAGATTTTTGAGATTCTATTTTTTTGAAATTTAATCAAATGATATTCTATATCAGACTGACTTTTTAGTTGCATCAATGCTTTTTTCACGGCAGACAATACAGAAATAATGTAATTATTGTATATTTCTCTATTTAATGGAATCTCCTTTATTCATTAGTGAAACTTTATTCATCATACAAAGTTGTTTTCTTTAAGTAAGTTCTTAGTCGTGTATTAACGTTGGTAAAATTTCACGAACATTCCTGTGTTAGGAAGTTTCGAGAATATCGATGATAATAAATCAGAGTGAAGAGGTCGAATTCAAAGTTATCTTTGTGATCGATATAATAGGGATATATACAATGGGAATGAATTTCCAAGTTATAACGTGGTACATTTGCATCAGAAATTAGAAACTGAGAGCAGGACGAGTAAAAATCTTACGATGTGCTTTCAGCGACTGAATTAGGAGACACGGAAAATCGGAGTTTGGGAGGAGAGCGTGACATTTCTTTTGCTGGAAGAAGCGAAGAGCCCAGAGTGAATAGTGCTCGCATGTCATTGCCATTAGATTTTGTACAATGAGCAGCTGGACAGAGAGAATGCATCGACGCGCCGCTACGTTAGGAAATGTTGTAACCAGCTGCGGACATCCCTCCTCAGAACCTCCGCATCCGAGACGCCTGGAAAAGTTAGTATATCGCTTTACGAAAATAATATAGTCACCCTTCGGTCATTTGTTAATCAATATTTTATCTTTAGAAAGTGTTATATTTTAAAATTAACTGCCTTTTTCTTATATTTACATATAAGAAATTTTACGTATAGAAATTTTGTATAGATTTGTATTTTTTTTGGAAAGTCGTAAGGAAAGAGGTAAATATACAATTTATTGATTGTAACATAATAGATATGTACAGTAATAAATTATTTTAAAAAATAATGTATACTAATTTCTTATCGAACATAAATTTTCAGGAAATCTTGGTTACAATGATATATCTTTAGATAAAGAGTAGAAGAAGTGATTTGTCTGATTATAAAAAATATATTTATATGATTGTTAATTCAAATCATAAATATACTTTTTGGGAAAAAAGAAAGAGGTTATTATATAATTTATTAGTTGTGATATAATATTTACAATAACATATGATTGGAAAAAATAACACCAATTTTTTATGATTGTGTATATTTAATTAGAAAGAGGGACATGAATTCGAATATATATTTTCTAAAAATCTTTATTGCAGTATTTTTAACAATAAGTAGAAAGCATAAATCGTCTGATTATAAACTGTATTTAAATAATCGTGAATTTAAATCAATTGTTTATACAATTAGACAATCAATTTCTTGTAGATGATCATTAACTTAGTATATAGATAAAGCATAGTGAGACAATATGTCGATAAAGAAATTAATCGGGATAGTAAAGATCTTTTAAATTTTTTCACAGATATGATAATTGATATTTAACGATATGTCGGGCAAATATTGTCAGCACTCTGCGTTATATGTTTGATGCTCTGAGGAGATGCGTGGTAGCATTTGTAAGTAAGAGTTTGCGAAGATTACGTGTATCGTATGTTACTAATATGCATTGACAACTCGAAGATCCATTGTATTAATAGTGCTGACTCGTTGAAAACTGTTTAGCGAATCTAGAGTAGCAATATTTAGTAGCGCAATTTTGTATAACAAACAATGAAACACATCGCTCGCGCCATGTGACGCCTCTAATTCAACATACATATTTTCCCGTGCCTATTTTAGAGAAACTCGCTTTAGTACACTACATCCAGAATTCATGCGATTTTCCCTTCGCTATTGTCTCATCGGAATCGAATTCGACAGTATTCCCATTAGCTGAGAAAATAACGTTTCCAAACTTCTGCTTTCTTCTTGCAGGGTCAAGTTTGGTGCACCTCTGAACGAAGTGTGCAAAAATGATATTCCTGGCCCGTTACTGGTAAATAACGATTATGGAACTTATATTTTAATCCTTCATTTATAATGCATCTTGTATTCGATAAAAACGAGGATAAAAAGGTTTTTCTTGTATATATATCTTTCTCCTTTAGAAACAAAATAATTTAATTTACAATTAGTAATAATTAATAATAATTATATATAGCGCGAGAGAAAAGAGGTTTATATATTTTTATTTTTTTTTGCACAAACGAAATTTCATTCTTTCTGCGAAATAAAGGAGGACTGAGATATCTCTAAAATAATTGAGAAATTCATTTGATAATAGAAATATTGAAAAGTAATCCTGTATTTTTCCACGTTTTTTGAAAGCTAAGAGCAGTAAAAAAACTTGGGTTGAAAAAAAATCTAAATTGTAGACGGAAGATTAAAACTCTTAAAATAATTAGGAATAATTATTTTAAGTAAATATTTAGTTAAATATTAGTAATAATTAGTATTAAAGTAATAATAATAGTTTAAATGGAGACTTAAATGAGAGAGAAGAAGAAAGCCATTTTTGGTTAAAGTAGATCTTGGTGCTTAGTAATATTCATATGTGAATATACAAATACATATAATTACAATAATAGCGTCCCCTTATTCCAGGTCCTTATATTGAAACTGAACAAGGAAGCTCCACTCAGAAAAGATATCTTTCGGGCACCTGGCCACCAGGGTAACATGAAGAAACTGGTACACTTCCTGCAAACCGGACATCTGATCAATATGGACAATTTCAGCGATTATACGATAGCCAGCGTTCTAAAAAAGTTTTTGCGCAAGATACCCGGTGGAATATTCGGTAAAGAGACGGAGCAACAACTGTTTACCATAATCCAGCTAGATAGTGTAGAACAACAACGGGACCAGATACACAGGTGATGATTTCTTGTGATACATTCTCACTACATTATTCTCGAGATTAGTTGGCTTTACAAAGGAAATTACGCTGTGCAGATTAATTACTTCCATGCCGATATACACACAACGGTTACTGGTACTGCTGTTCGGAACATTCAGGATAATAGCAGTAAATTGCGAGCGAGCGCACACGGGGATGACTAGCGAGGCCTTGGGAGTGTCCGTAGCACCCTCGTTCTTTCATAGTTGCGTCAGCGACGGCAAGACTGCTAAGATGGAGGATGTTCTCAGATTTAAGGTACTTGACGTGAAATCTGATCTTTATTATTATCATGATCAGATAGTTTCGTTTCCACCAGTTATTGTTATTTTTTACAATTATTAATATATTGTACTTTAATCCGAACACCAAAAAATTATTCTGTATAATTTAATTTAAACTGAAAGAAAATAATTTTTGTATAATTGTTGTATTTTATATTTTTCTTTTTACTTTTTTCTTTATTTTTGTACTGGAGGCTTTTTAGTAAGAGACAGAGACGAAAAAGTGTAATACAGTGAATTATCTATTTTTGTTTAATATTAGCAACAAGGTCATAATTCACTGTCAACGGTGTCTCTTACTGGAAAGCACCCATCTTTTATAAACACAAATTTTTAAGATTGTCAGTACGAATTGAAAAATCTATTGTCGCTCGAGAAAAATTTATTGTAAAGGAATCGAAATTCTTTCGAGGATTTCTCTCAATACTATTTGTCATTAATAGTCGACTTATTTTCAGATTGCCACCCGCATTACCAAGTTCATGATAGACAATTTCGGTGTATCCAATCTGTTCGGAAGGGACAATTACGAGTATTATGCGCGCATAACCGGCCGGATATTAAAAGTAGAGGAAGATTGGATCTTTAGTTTTCGATATCCGCCGGACACTCTCGTATCGAGTAAGTATACGTGCATATTTTTATTTACGACAATTTAATCGCGCGTGTACGACTTGAGTATATGAATTTTAGGACAACTATCGCTGGAGGCTGAAAAATCGTGGTTGCAATACGAGTGCGAAAAATGGGGATTGAAGTTCAATTTAGAATGTAAGTGAATCTGATCTCATTGAATTGAGCATTTAGATTCTCGGCTATTGCTGTAATCATATTGGCTGTAATCATCATATCGTGACATCAGAAACAAGAATCATGTTTTTTTCTTGCGCCATTATTTTTTCTACAACGCATCTCGTATTCGATAAAAAACATTTTTCTTTTATTTCTCTTTTAGGGAGAAAGTAATTAATAATTTAACTCAATAATAATTTAAAATGACTGTACAGCTTTGGTCAAAAATATTAGGTATTAATATTTTTCTCATTCATTAAGAATTCTTTTATTTACATTGTCACCTATTCATTATTGTTAGCATTATACACAAGTTTAAAGAGTTCTTGAAACAAAAAATAATTTACAGTAAATGCCATAAATTAATTTTGGAGTTAAAATTTTAAACAATAGTTATTAAAATGCTTAATATTTTTGGCTAAGATTTTATATAGCATGAGAAAAGGGGAATATATTTTTATTCCTGTTAATTTAATCTAATATTAAATAACAACAAAAAGATTCTAAGTATCTCTATACAATATCGTAATAAATCTTTAATTCACACCATAGGTATGTCGCACCAAGAGGAATCGCAGTCAACTCCGGCGTTGATTCACGTGCCGGAGACCGTGAATCTCGCGTCATCATTAGGCATGATTCCAGAGAACACCTTACTGGAGAGTTACACGCGTCTCTCAGTGAGCTTAGAGGAAAACGGCTTGTTCCAGGTATAAATGCATCTATCGATAAGAAATCGCAATCATAGTGTCGTATTATGTCGCAATCGTAATGCAAAAAATATTTAAAACAGCATAGAAAGTAGATTATATTATTACAGGCACCCAGTCGTTCATCCAGTAATGGCAGTCAACATTCTAAGCATGGGACAATGGGTATGACGCTGGAAGAGCTTCGCGCGGTGAATCGTTACGCCGAGAGCACCAAGAGTCTCAGCTACCTGCCGCAGGTAAGACGATCGTGTCTCAGTGAAGACAAACAGACAATTGAATTAATAAATGTCATCGTTGCCACCGCAGGTTCATGAGAGGCAAGCCGCACGAATGCGAACTAGATCTGAATGGTTTCTCACGCCTGTAGTTGCCTCGGACAGTGATCCCTCGGCGATACATATTTTACGAGGTTCCAATCGATCTTCCTCTGGCAATATAGGTAAACAACCACATGATTTGAGAGTCTCCTTTGATAGCCAGAAAGAAGAAGATTAACATGAGTTTGATATTTTTTGTTCTTTAATCTCATATTTTATTATCATTAATCAGATTATTTTTAATATATAAGTTTTAGAGAGAAAAAGTAATACTGTTACGATTTAATTATTTTTACATTTATATACTTATCTACATAAATTATTTATATTTTGGCTTGCATCAACCTTTTTCTTTTCTGGTTTCTTAAATTTTCGGAATCATCAAAGATTTGTTTCTGGCTGCTTTTAGGAAATACTGTCAATATAATTTCTTTGTTATTTATTTATTGAATGCCAAAAAGAATAGAACGAAGTTTGTGTCGACTGTCTCTTAAAAGGAAAGCAGTCTTTGTTCAATGAAGTTTTTTTGAATACAGCTACAGGTTTGAGCGCCAGCGCGGAATCGGTGAAGCGGCCGAGTCTTCGAAGAACTTCCTCCAGGGAGAAGCAACGTTGGCATCGCAACTCGTCTCGTCGCAACAAAGAGAACGGCACTAAAGGAGCTGGCCGCTCGGCCACAGCGGCCGCGGCGGCGATGGTGACGGAAGCGTCCAAGTCGCGTTCCCTGGAGACAATCAAGAACGTGAAGATCGTGCGCGTGATGGCGACGGATCAGCAGCAGCCAACGGCCGAGAAGATGATGGACAGTAGCCATAATGATATCTTCGAGGAACACGCGAGCAAGGAGACTCGCGTGCCGTCGCGCATCAGCGGCGACGGTGTCATTGGGCCGCAGGATTGCACGGAGATGGACGTGAAAACGTTTCACGTTACTTTGACGTACAAGCCGCGGATATAAACGACTTTAATTTTTATTTTTTTACTTTATTATTATCTAACTCGACGCTTTCAGGAATGTCGGAACGGTATTACTTTTCTCGCGCGTGAAATACGTTTTCGCGTTGGTTGTTACCCCAAATATTATATGTAGTCACAAACCTGGACGACGATTTTATCCTAATGTTCGACGTTTAGGAAATATCAAATTTATCTCGTTCGCGAATATATATAAGATCCTTTTTTTTTTTTAAATTTTAATAACGACGCTCAGGAGTATCGAACTCGAAATATCTTCCTCACGCAAAATTGCGTAGTAACACAGCACACATATACACGTATAAAGATTTATTTATTCTCGCCATATTGTAGTTCAAGTGTTCGTTTTTTATTGTTTTATAGTCGTGAAATTTTATTACTTTTCCGTATAACAGAACGATTAATTAACTTTCGTTGCAGGAGGGAGGGATTATATGAGAACTCTTGATTTTTATTCCGTTGAACATACCGGTTTAACTTTGCTCGGTTATTTCTCGTGGCATTCCAGACGCATTTACTCTTGCCCCGCGATATTTTAATTAACTTTTCAACTACTTACGTAATCGATAATTTCGTTCGATTGATCGAGACGTTTTTTACACGAATCCACCATCACTTGTATTTATTCCGAGTTATTAGAAATATGACTTAGACACTTCGGAAACTTATCCCATCGATTACCATCGCGTGACTAACAGCGTAATGTACGCAAGATGTTCCACGACGTGTCCGACGAATGAATTCTTTGTGCAATCTATAAGAGAGTTCATTTTCTCTTGATGAAAACATTGGATGTTCTCTTAGAATTACATGCGAAGTCGAGGCATGTAAGTTAAGTTTTAAGAACGCGATTAGACAATAACGTCTTATTCTCTTCTTTTAAAAATTTTAATTCAAACGGATAGGCTAAACGCTATTCTGTTTTTTATTCATGATTTTGCGACCCTTCTATGTAGGTTGGAAATCCATCCAGGGGGGTAAGAAGAAGAAATTCAAACGAATGTTTAAAAAAAATTATTTAAAACTTTGAGATAACTAAAAGTCAGGAGTTGTGAGATAGAATTTAACGAAATGTTTTTTCATAAAAAGAATTCATAAATGAAGTGTATTTGGACACGTCGCGCGGGAAAAGAAGGATTCGGTAGATCTTGCAATATTTACGCGAATTCCTTCGTCGCGACGTATCGGTTACTCGTATATAAATGCACAGTCACGGTTGTTACATGCCAAATTAGTAGTATATGTAAGCTATACTTGTAAGACATCGATTATAGAAAATGTTATGGTCGTATTATCGCGTGTACGTTACGAAAATCGTTGATAAGATCAGACAAGCTGAGTCAATGGAAATGAAATGTTTTTTTTTCCTTTGAATTTGAAAAAAAAAATTGTGCCGTACACTATTAATTGTTGAAGGAAACAAAACGTGGATTAATTACATTTCGATGTTTATATTTCAATCAATTACAGTGTTCTGTTATCTGCAAACATTCGAGTTGACCACGATAGAACCATCTAAATTGCGTTGCACATATTTTTTTGTCTTCGAATTCAAGGGAGATTCTTAAAAATTCTGCTTCTGTTGACTCGTGTTGTATAGAGAAACTATACCGTATTAAGTCGGTACTCGATATTATTCTCATCTAGAGCAAACGACTACGAAACAAGAGATATTTATCACCGTAAGTACGTAAGAAAAAAAAAAGAGAACAACGGCATCCATATAACGACATATATTAACACAACGAAAGTGTTCCGTAAATAAGAATGTAGCGTAATCGTGCGACGAAGACCGCGCGCGGCGGACTTTCCAAGGGATTGCGGTTGATTAAATCGATCGTGCGACCGGATCCGAAGGAGGATAGTAATCGACATAGTAATCGCGTAATATTGCGGAAAAAATATTGCGGGAACTTGAACGGGAGCGACAGAGACGGATTCGTTCAAGTCTTCTCTGTCTCGCGACCGAAGAGCCATTTTCAAGCCGTCTTAAACCCACACGTTCGTCGATAATTATTAAAAAAATAAAATACTGAAATTATGTATCGCGAAGACATATATAAAGTCACGGAGATTTTGCAATTAGCGTGCGATTTCTATTTAAAGAAAAAGAAAGGAGAAGTAAATGAATTTTAAGATGGTTCGGAGATGAGCTGTTTAAACACTTCTTTGCGAAGGCCATTACGTAAATTAATATATTTATGATTAGACGTATATAACGTGTAAATATTGAATACCAAAAATGTAAAGTTATTATATATATTGGACGTAATATATATGCAAATGTAAACGCGTGAAAGTATGTATGTGTGATCGTGTTGAATGTCGCCGCATCGAATTGCCGTATCGATTTAAGTGTACTCGATGTCATCATTTCGCGTCTGAGGGATGATAAAGGAGAAGGAAGTGGAGAACGACGAGAAAGAGGAGGAGCAAGAATCGGTGTTCACGTGCCGAGTAGAGGAAAGAAGACGCAGGCCCAGATGAGAAGACACATGATCAGGAATAGCAGCAGCTTCGTGCGGAAGCTGTCCCAGCCGACCAAGATCACCCTCGGTGGCGTGCGTCTTACCGTCGTCGCGGAGAACTGAAAAATACGCACAATCATTACTCGCTCATTCGATAAAAACCGCGTACGAAAGTGGACAGGAATAGATCACGTTGACGTCCATTTGCTCCTCTTCGTTCTCGACGTCGTCATCGTCATCGTTATCGTCGTCGTCGTCGTCGTCCCGCAATCTCCACGCGCTTGAATGCTGTCGCATCGGATCCGTCTCTCGATCTCGTGTGTTCGTCGACGACGTTATTGTTGCCGTCAACGGCGGTAGCGGATGCACTTGCGGCTGTGGCTGTAACTGTGATTGCGACTGTGGCTGCAATTGTAACTGCAGTTGCGGTTGCGACTGTTGCTGTGGTTGCGGTTGCGACTGTGACTGTGGCTGCAATTGTAACTGCAGTTGCGGTTGCGACTGTTGCTGTGGTTGCGGTTGCGATTGTGACTGTGGCTGCAATTGTAATTGCAGTTGCGGTTGCGACTGTTGCTGTGGTTGCGGTTGCGACTGTGACTGTAGCTGCAATTGTAATTGCAGTTGCGGTTGCGACTGTTGCTGTGGTTGCGACTGCGACTGCGATTGAGGCTGCTGGCTTCTGGTTGTCTCAGATCGCTTGTTCCCAACAACGATAACGTTGTCGTCTACCGCGGATCGCGATTCGCTGAGCCCGTTGCTGTGTGATTGTCTCGCGAGATACATGCTCGATCGTGCGTGCGCAGTCATATTTTTTTACCAACGACAATTTCATCGCGATACTGTGTAGAGAAGAAGGGGACTTGTTTGATTCGAGAGCGAGAGAAGAGAAAAATAACGGAGAATTCTGTATTCATAAAACGCGAAGCGTCCGATATAATCTCTCGTGGCCCATGATATCTTTCAGTGATTTAATTTACCCTTTTCTCCTCTACATTTCGTGTCGTTTTGAGATCCTTGCCTATTACAATCCCGGCCAAAAAAAACGTGGAGCCGTTAAGCTGCTTTGATCAAAACGTTCGTTCATTTATTTGTCTGATTAGCGTAAGTGTCATAAAAAGAGAAGGCGAACGAATTTTTTGATCTATAACGATTTGTAGATTTACTAAGGTCCGCGCAATTTTTAAAGATCTTTCTTAAGAATCGCGTCTCTCTCAGTATTATTTACAACTCTGTGTAAAAAGAAGATTTGCCGTACTTTTTAATTTTTTAAACAACCAGACTCAGCGCGCAATCTGCTCGAGTATGATAATAAAGGGATCGAATAATCTAATAATGTACTGTGTAACGCCGTATTTTATTCGAATATTTACAGGAGTCAAATATTTATAAAACAGTACGAAATATACAATATTACAATCTGATTTATGGAAGCCTTTAGCTGCCGGGAGGACTTCTCCCTGAGCGTTCGTTCGGTTGTTCCTTCCGAATTTCTCCAAAGATTTGTTTTGATGAGCAATCGTCACAACGCAAACGTGATTTGTAATACAAACGTTATAAAATTAGGGATACGGAATAGCGATGGTGGAAAATACATACTCCAATTGGCTCTAACAGCAGTAAACCATGTAGAACTGCGAAACACGCTGCGTGGATCGCCAGTCCCAATCCACCAATCGGATTATCACAAAATCACGGAGAAGTCGCAGAATTCAACATCGAATTATAAATTGCGACAAAGTCACAACCCAGTAAACGTCAGTAACATCAACGTTACAATTTCCCATTCAACAAAATAACTACATACTGTGTAACACATGTTATATTACATTTTATTGTTGAGTATGAAATTATATCATTCATTACTGTTAGTTACAGTTTTACTGAAGTATCTTCTCCAAATTCTTTAGAGTGGAATCTCACCAGAGTGAAAATTAAATCAGTCTGGAAAGAGTGATCCATATTTCATTCTTTAAAAGTGAGGTTTGCTCAAAAAGTTTTAGAGGGTAACTAAATATTTAGATACTTCAGCACACAATTGTTCTTACTACGTGGTTTACTTGGGAAGTCACAGAACCCGCAAACTAGCAATTATAATGGAGAACACGAAGTCACATGGATCCGATCGTAAATCGCGATCTCAACACCAGGGAGATCGCCATCAAGCTTTGACATCACCCATAAATCACGAGGTCGCGGAATTCATCAGTCGATTTGCAATCGCGAGGACACAGCAAGATTTGTAAAGCGAGAATGATCCCGATCACAAGATCCGATACTGGTCCAGCAGGGTGTAGATGATGATCCAGAGGAGGAACGCCACGATCACGGAGACCAGGAAGATGGTTTTGAGCGAGTGCCATGGACTCTCTGGAGTGCGTGGCTCGCTACCTTCGATTCGGCTGTTCCTCCAGATCTTGCAGCCGCCGTTCTTGCAGGGCATCCCGTTGCTACCACTGGAGTGCGCCATCGACGTCGCGATGTTACTGCTCGGCGCGGTCACCTTCACCTCGCCCATCTCCGTGGTTTCACCGGCAGCGTGCCGGTGCACCTCCGCTGTCTTCGTCGCTAGCTCGAATTTTGACGGCGAATCCATCTGAAATTCAAGAAGTAAATGTCAAGTCATCTTCTTTGTTGTAGATAATGCGATTGAATATAAAGAAAAGAAAAATTATAATTAAATTATAATCTGAAGCTTTTGAGCGTAAAGAAGCAATAATTATTATTATTGTTTCTTTAACATTCGAAAGCTTCAGAAATGTTCCCAGCCAGAAATAACTCATCGAATTAATATCGAATAGAATCGACATAGAATGCTTTTATGTCGTAATTACGCCGTTAAATTAAAAAATATGATAAGATTAACTTTCATCAATTTTAGGATTTTGTCTCGATTTTTCGTTCTTAAAATTGTTGTTTTATGCTAAGAAAGATTTACAATCAGTAAAGCCAAAACGTTCATATTAATTTATTATTTTTTATTCATTCATTTGAGAATAAATTTTTTTTACTTTTTAAATTTTCTTAATTGGACTGTTTTATTGAGTATTATCTTTCCTTATTTATATAAATTAATATAAAAAAAATACTTCCAAACTTCCTTGTTTAAGAACATTACATTTTTTTCAATATATGCATATATTAATTAATTCTTTTCATTTACAATATTTTTAGCATTTTCTAAATGAATTCGTCATTTACACGTATTATATTTTTTGGAGCTTCGAAAAAATTCGAATCTTCGAAATAAATCAACAGTCTTAATTTCGACATTAATTTGACGTCTAATCGATAATCATTTCTCGTTGAGGTTTTATCTGCTACAACTTTCAGAAACTTCTCAAAAATGCGATGTAAAGTGTGATATATAACATTTTTTTTAAACTCTTGATCTCTTAAACTCAAAACTTAAAATCGAAAAGTTGAAATAATCTCTTTGAATATTTTATTCAGAAAGATTTTTTTTCGTTAAATTGGAGTATGTTTTTGTTGTATAGTTTTCTCAAAAAACTTCCTGATCGTCAAAGACGTCAGTATACGAGTATTACTCAATTTATCTTGCTAAATAACAAAAAGAAATGCAAAAAGTTTCTTATTCGTCATTGGCCTAATTTCCACCGAGAGTTTAATCCGGATCAGAATGTAAGAACCAATCAACTACAATCGAGTATTGCCTTGTTACAGTCGAATGACAGGGAAACGTTTGACTATAGTTGGTTGGTTCTTACATTCTGATCCGGACTAAACCCTCGGTGGAAATTAGGCCACTATTGAGACGTGAAATGTGCAGGAGAATAAAAAATAATATTATTCATAAACATATAATATTATTAATATTACGATATCGCACGATTTGAACAGAAAAAAGTACAGCAAAAACATTGCGGTATTTAACATTTATTGCCGGATAAAAATTATCTCTCTCTGTCAGCGGTTTTAAACATCCTGCAAACCACCCGGCTGACATGGTGCCATTTCATATTTCCGGATTCAAACTCGACCTATCTAACACGTTAAGGAAAAATAAAACGAGATGTAGTAAAAATTAGACTCCAATTAGACCTAACTAAATTTCTATTAAACTCTAAATACTGTTAAAAGTTTTCCTAATCTTCTTGTCTCCGCGTTTTAAAACTAGTCTTTTAAAGCAATTATATTAAAAAATAAAATATACAATATTCCTGCACAGTAAAAAACGTTTTATATTTGTGTTAGAAACGGTCCACTCACATTCTCGTTAAAATTTTGTGTTGAATTTTTAATATATCCGAGTTTTAATTTAACATAATATTATGTTATTTGAATATTTTATGTTAAATTAAAATTTAACATTTTTCAGTGTTAAAATAACACAATTTAGGCAAGTAAACAAATAACATAAAAATAATGTAGTTTTAAAACATAAATTCCAAGAATAAATGAATAAAATGAATAAAGTATGTGTGTTGATGTATTATAAATCTTAATTTTATTGAAGAAATATCTTTTGTACAACTATAATACTTACATATTTTTATATAAAAAGATACAGATATTTTATGTTATTTTCTCTTTGTAACAGTAAATATCTGTTAAATCTATATATTGCATATGTTAAATATCACAGAGGCATTGTCTAAACTAAAAATGTAAAACTAATATCTAATTTTAGTTAAATTTAACATTATAAATGTGTCAATTTAATATAAAATTCGTTTTTAAATTGTGTCAAAGTATTACGCTTCTTGGGTTAATTTTTTACATAATATTTGCGTTACTTTCTAACATATTCATCTTATATTAAATTAACACAAAAATTAGTGGACCGTGGGATATGTGAAATATGTTGAATTTAACACGAATTTTTTTACTGTGTATGAATATTTGTTATTTAAATTTATTTCAAATATGTATTTTTCGAATTACAATAAGTTTTAGTTGACTCTTCGCTTTTTATTGTTGTTCGAAAATTTGTGTTAAATTTAACCTATTGTAAAAATCTTTAAGATCCGTTTTTACAGTATTCAGTTACCTAAAGATTAAAGGTCTTGGTCTTATTTTTAAGTTGTGAATGTATTGTGAAATCGAGCCCAACAATGTTTAGAATCGGTCTACCTAAATTTTTGTGCAATATAAGATGAATGTATTAGAAAGTGACCAAAATTATGCAAAAAATTAACAAGAAATATAACATGAGACACAATTTGTAAGCAAAATTTTTCAATAAAATTAATATTTATAGTATGTTAAATTAATACATTTTTATCATTTAGAATAGTAAAACTGGAGTGTTGAATAGACATCTTTTATGCCATGGCGACAATAATCATCATCAATTTCGTAAAAAACAAAAATTTTGAAAAAATTGTTCTTTTTCTCATTTTTTTTTGCCATTGCAACGGCAATAATGGAAACGCAGTCAGTACTGTAGATGCGCCAGGATATGAGGATCGGAAAGTGAAAGGAGCAAATCAAGCCGGCGATTACGTGTGCTTCAAGAATCTGGTTTTCCGAAGGGGATAGGGGGATTTAGCCGCTGATCCATCATATAACGAATCGATTCCATATGGATCTAGACGTTATCATCTGACGTTACGCTCATGTCACACTACGCATTGATGATTAAGAATTGAAAATTTCATGTAATTACGCAAGGACGGTTTTACTGAAGTATCTAAAAAGATTTAGCTAGATACAGATCTGAAAATAATTTTGTTGGATCATGAAAATAATTATGTAGAATCTTCCAACTGATTGTTAGAATGTCAAAATTTTTTATTATATTGATAGTCCAGCAAAATTATTTTTTTGTATTTAGCTAAATTTTTATTTTTGTTAATTTTTAGATACTTCGGCAAAATTGTACTTTTCATGTTTAGCCAAATCAGATCACGGATTAAATAATTTCAAAAATGTTAGATTCTTTATGTTACAGCAGTAATAACGAGGGCTGCTAGAAATCGGTATTGTAATTAAGTGCGCCGAATTTAATCGAAAAATAAATTTTACATGTATTACAACTAATGTTTGGCATTTGATCGTATAATAAAAGAATATTCTTTTATTACGTGATACATGTACAATTTCTTCTTTAATTAAATATTTATAGCACACTAATTATAGCACTGATTCTTAACCTAACATTCACCTTTTCATTGCCATTGAAACGGATTAAAATTATCTAACTGGTCGAATTCTTATATCGAATTTGCAATCCTCAATTTCTACTGCGTAGTATGACACGGGTAGTGTGACACGGTTTAACGATGACACATATTAATAATTTTCGCGAAGACACAAGCAACGTACATATCTCGGTGAAATCACAGTTGATCGCGAAATCGCGATATGTTCCAAAAGTTGCATAAAAGAAAAAGTTAATACAGTTTTGTAACAATAATAAAACGTATTTCTACAATAAATAATATTCTGTAATTTTCGAAGTGTTTGATTGACTTCGCGAATCGCTATATATCATCGAGATAACTGATGGCCTCTTGAAATCGCACTTCGAGATCAGCTCGCGTTTTTATTTATTTTTTGTTTTTAGCAATAAAGGGAAGGGGACTTGTTAACGTTATTCGTTACGCGACTTTCACCGCATTCGTTCGAGGATCAAACGACAGTCAACGACCCGATTAGAGGCGATCGACCGTGTCCGTTCGCCAACGTCGATATTAATGGGATCCCTTTATGAGGGATTTAAGCATCGTTTTCTCGAATGTAGCTGCGATCGCTGGCATCGTGAAATTGGACGCGTGGCATCGGAATAAATCGAGACGATTGGCGAACGATAACTCCTGATAAGACATTATTCAGACCCGTATATTCCTCTATTTAATCGTCTGCATATTCGTTCAATTTCATAAAACATTATTTCATCAAAATAATTATGTAGAATGGAGATCATGAAGGTTTGTCAAAGTAGGGCTTTAAACAGATATTATTTATGATCACCAATGGTAGCTAAAAAGTGAGTCGAAACGTTTGAAGCTCGTAATTGAATATAATTGATAATAGATTTTAATCGTGCCCTACTAAACCTGCTCCTGACTTTTATTTGTTCGATGTATTTCTTAATTTAATTTTTTTTAAATTTGAGAATAATCTTTTAAGATTAATATTTGTTAATTATGTAGGACATTCAAGTTGAGAGTTGGTTGATAAAATGTTAAAATTGTTTGCAACATTCGTCATGCTTGACCATCCATAATTATTTTGTAACGTTTCAAATTAAAGAATACTATTTGTTTTATTTGTGACTGCAGCGAATTATATTCAGATCTGTTTCTTTTTTCTAGAATATAAATCTATCGTAATTATATATTTATTATTTGTACTGTTAAGGCTCATAATTTGGAGCTGAAACGTACAGTTTGTGAAGCAATGTATTTTCAGTTGAATTTATTGATTGAATTTTTATGTGTTTAATTAATTATGCCGACTCTCTTAACGGCTTTTTTATATTTATTTTTATAGTTTAAATCAGTAGAAGTCCTGTAGCGTCTTAAATTTGACATCTATTGTATATTTTATGGTTTTGTTGTTATCTGTAATTATTTAGGTGATTTCAGCAAAATTATTTTCAAATCTGTATCTATAAACTATAAAATCTTTTAGATACTTCAGCAAAATTATTTTTTGTACAGACACAAATAATGAATAATAAATAACAAATTATAATTACGAAAACTGTATTCTCAATAATTTTAATTTGTTAAAAAAGTTGAGAAAAAATTAAGAAGAAATTAGAAAAAGAAGAAACTTAGAGAAGTAATTAGAGACAAAAAGGAATATTAATTCTCTTCTGTCAATTTCGATACTTTCTCTCTCTTTTTCTACCCTTCCATTTTATTCTAATTCCAAAGACATCAACCAGATCTCCCAGATTGATAGTATGGATACTCACGTTATCAAAAACATCCATATTTCTTGACATAGCAATCGTCCTTGCTCATACCTCACTATCGCATCTCGGAGGAAGTACCTCCGAGTTCCAAAAAGAAAAACCGTTCGTTCGCGGACTCGTGGATTCCTCGAGTGTTAATTTGCACCCGGAATTCCTGGAGGCCCCGATTTCGAAGCCTGGTCGCGGTGAATACGGTCGCGGTGAACCGCAACGACGCGCAGTAGCTCGCTCACGCGAATCGCTGTCGGAACTGACTAGTTTAGACTGAGCGAGAGACATTATCACTGCTTATCAACCGCGACCCCTGACCAATTGGCCAATAAACTAGCTTTCCCTTCCTCGAGGAGATTTACAGTCGAAATCTTCGGAAGTTCCGTCAATAAATGTCTTTTTCCTCTTCGGTTTATTGCACATGTTTCTTACCGCGAAATTTTATATATATATATATAATTTTTAATAATTATGACTATTCATCAAACACTGAATATATTACTGTCATATAATATTTGTATATATATGTAAGATGTACAGGGTGTCTGATAATTGTTTTGACAGAGTTCGTGGATATGCAGAGTGGACTAAACTAAGATGGAAAGTCCTCTACCATTTTGCAATTTTCGCAATAGTTAACAAGATATTAATTGCTAAAAATTGCCGAAAATTGATCTTCAATAATTTTTTACTCAAATACTATCAACTTTACAGAAAAACTGCAAGAGAAAATTATTTATTTTCTTCTCATGGAACTCTATGAATTTTTTCAGAATTTTTTTATCGACTTTTTGTTACTGTATTTTCTCATTTTTAACATGAGAAAATACGGTGTTAAAAAATTTTGAAAAAATTCTAAAAAAATTCTTAGAGCTCTATGAAAAGAAAATAAACAATTTTCGTCTCTTACAGTTTTTCTGTAAAGTTGGTGGTATTTGAATAAAAAAATATTGGAGACCAATTTTCGGCAATTTCTTGTTCTTAACTATTGCGAAAATTGTAAAATAGTAGAGGACTTTCCATCTTAGCTTAATCCGCTCTACAAGTCCACGAACTCTGTCAGAACAATTACCAGACACCCTGTATACGTTATGTATGCACTGGAAAAAAATACACGTTTGCCTAGCTGACCATCCTCCCCCCTTATTTAACCAAATTTTAATGAATAAATTATATAATAATATGCTATTTATGAGCTCTTAAAATCGGCAAAAAAAATTTTTGCGTTCATTTTGTCATTTTGTTTTTTTTTATGGATGTCAAATTTTTTTTTTAATGGAGACTGAGTAGGCTGTCAGTCAGCCTCCATGTTAATAACAATCGATTTAGAGAATCAAATACACAGGATTTAAGCGCTTAGGTACCTTCCCTCTTGGAACAAACAGTCATATTCATCCCCAAGTCATTTCAAATTGCAAAATTACTACCTAATTATGCAAAATAGAAAGAAGTTAACAAATAGAACGAAAGTATTACCAATCTAATAATTTATTATATTTACCGATTTATTATATTGTACCTTCTTTAAAATCTTTACCTTCTTCAAAACTTTTACATTATTATCTTTGATTTTTAAATAGAAACACAATTGCTTGGAATTTATAACGCATAAATGAACATACTTTGCATAATTAAAGCTTGTATTTTCATAATGTTTAATGACTTAGATACGAATGCTACTGTTTTATGGAATGAGTTTTATGATTATATATTAATTTATCATTAGCTGTTAGTTTTAGCTAACTGAAAAATGAGAAGTACTTTTGAAAAAAATTAATGTCTTACAATATTTAAAAAAATTTCACATAAAGATTTTCATATATTAATCTATGAAGACTTTTTTAAATACTTTAAACCTCCAGATTTTATAATTTTTTTTTTTTTATAAAATGACAAAATTACATAGAAATTGTGAAAAATTCTCAAATGTATATAGAAATTCCGAAAAATTACGTGAAGAATTCCAAGAAAACTTTCACAAATTACATAGAAATTGCATTCACAATGCAAATTACACTGCAAATTATATGCGCTACATAATAAACGCTCGACGATAGAACGAAGGAAAGTCCAGGACGCGATCACCTTCGTGCATCTCCGAGGGAATATTGCGACATACGCGCGCATATATAATCATACCTTGCGTAATTCTATCTCTTTCTCTCTCTTGTCCATTATTTTCAGCGAGGACAGGTACGATTATGGAAATCGCGTGGCATTCGTGGATCATCGTTCGCCGGAACTTCGGTGAGTTCACGTGCCATCCCGGTGATTGTAACGATAATAACGACTGTGTTTTAATCGTATTAGATATAACGAGAAAAGAAGTCGATCGTCGACTGATATAAACCGATCGTCCGTCGCCGCGTTTCGTCTCGCTCGGCCATTTTGAAGAATTTTTATCGATTTTTATCGTGGAGAAATAAACACGCGGACGCATTCAAGTTAGTCAAACAAATTTTTTTATAGATGAGATAAAATTTTACAAGCACGAATTTTTACCGGTAGTAGTCAATTATAGTATAATAGTGCATGCACTATTATAACGTTTTTCATTGACTGGTGCGCACTCAGTGCACTTTAAAGCCATTGTACACAAATCGACGTAAAGATGTATGTTTAATAAAAATATAGAAACGAATTAAATCGAAATTAAAGCGAAATCCTCAATACATTTTATTGTAGTTTGATAAAATATACATTGGATATTTTATTGAGATATCTCATTTTTATATTTAGATTAGTATACAACTTTAATGTGTACTGAGTGCGCACTAGTTCTGCCAGTCAGTAAATAAAAAAACGCTAATTTATGCGTACTACAGGTTCGCAAATTGCGATAAAAAGTTGCGCCAGTCAATAAATGACCATGTTCCGATATACGGTAAGTGCAAAAAAGTATTTATCAAAAACGTTTTTTAAAAACATCAATTTAAAAAATAAACATTAGTTAGCAATTTATTAACGAAAAATAAAATAGATTATATATTTCTCAAAATTATTAAACAAGATTTGTAAAATAATTAAAAAACGAATAGAAAAATATCGGGAACAATCGTATAAAAATGTTTTTT